CTTCTTAATTATTCCCCCCCACCCACCGTCCCCACATTCCCTGTTTTCCCTTGGCTGTGCTTGGACCCTGCCTTGTCATGTCAAGATGGAAGTCAGGCATGACTGGCTCGCCTCTTCCCCCCACGAGGGCTTCGAGCAGCTGAGGCTGAAGAGCCGCCCCAAAGAGCCATCCCCGAGCCTCCCCAGAGTAGGGGCCAACTTCTACAGCTCTGTCAAGCAGCAGGACTTCAGTGCCAGTGTCTGGCTGAGGAGGAAAGACCATCTGGAGCAGGTAAGCCAGCTTCTCAGTCCTCTTCTTTCCTTCCAGGGCTGGGCTCCTCCAGCCTAGCCTAGGTGAGCTTCAGTGATCTGGTGGAGAAATACCCAAAGGGCAGAGGACAGAAACTTGTCCAAGGTTCTGAAGAGACCCACCCTGGTGAACAGCCTGGGGGAATATATTCCCCACACCGCTGTGCAAAATGTGTGTGGAAAAGTTATGCCCAGCCTGGGAAGTTACTGAACATTCCCGCATCACTTCCTAGCCTTCCACAAACTGAGCACTGAGGACAGTGTAGATGTATTGGGAAGGTGGCACTGGGGCTGACTGCTGTTGGCTTGTAATGTATCTAATGTTGGACTGAGGTGGCTTAAAAATAGTCTAGATTTCCCCCCTCTTCCTATGTGGGGCTTTAAAATGTTAATTCTGTGTGGAGTCCTGGAGATTTCCCTGAAGGATCAATTCCTGCAGCAGTACTGCACTTCAGTAGGTGGCTTAGGGCCACAGCATAACTGATGCTGAGGATGGCTGGAGTGAATATTTTATGAGGTTCAGAGGTGCTTGTAAGTATTTCTGTGATTCATATGTTTTAAAGCAGTGTTTCTTTATTTGTGTAACTTTTAAAAGCAAGGAAATGAGTTGAGATGAAATGCACGCTGTGTTAGTTTTCTGAGCAGATTTTTAGATAGAGCCTGCAGTCTGTAGTACAACCAAAATAGGGAGAGAAATGAGTATAGATAGGGAGGCAAAAGAGGTTGGATGGGTTTACATGAGGCAACAGACTGCAAATTATTTGCTGTTGGAAAGGATGGGAGATGGTGACATACTGTTAAAAATGACCAAAGGACATAGAGAATTATTACATTACATGCAAGCCATGTTAGGGCTTTTTTAGGTAGAAATCCACCTGTGAAAAGCATAACGCGCTTATTGTTGCAAGAAAATTATAGAGTACTTTAACACCTGTTTAAGAGGAAACTTGAAAAACAACTGGATATGGTGTTAAATTTCTTCTCCACCAAACTATATAATATAAAAATACTTCTTTTGAAGCATTTGCCCATTATGAAATATGAAATATAGGTTATGTTTATTGTTCTAATAAAACCACAATAACTGATGATCTACTGAAAATAGAAATAGATACTTCTCAAACATTTGAAATGTTCTATCTACCTTACTACACATTTCACATTTCCCTGAATTCTTCACACTAATAACAAGGCTTCACAGTAGTAAGCTAGTAAGCAGAGTGAATCAAGAAGAAAGGTCATTACTTTATCTCAGGAGGATTGAACGTTAATACATAAAAAGCACAGAAATCTAACCATTGGGTTTGTAACAGGTATTTGCTTGTAATACCTACATGTTGATTATAATTTGCCAAGACATAACACAGCTCCCCCATGTATAATCGATCAACAGATAATTAGACACCATTCTGATATCTGAACATTAGCATGCCCAAATATATATATGAAACATAATAAAAAACCTGTCCCATAGTATTGCCTAGGATGGGCTAAATAGACCTTACTTGTTCAAAGACTGGATAGCCCCCTTTTACTTTTTTGTTCTTATTTATCAAAAAGTTTGAAAAAGTCTAATAGCTGCAACATCACTTTGAAATGCTTTCCTGTAATCAGTTTCATATGTCTGTATGCCACTTGAGAGACTATATATTCTCATTTTTGTCCAGCTATTTCATTCCTATACTGTAGTGCATTTGAACAATGACAAGAAAAAATAATTCCTTGCACACAATGAAATATTTGAGTACACATTTAGTGACTATGTTTACTATGAATACATTGCAGTATACTGTATGTACCAAGTCTATACATGTGAAGTACATACTTTACTTTTATGATTTATGATAAATGTAAGAGTCAGAAGTGGTGGACTACAGACACAAATTATTATTTAGCTCCCCTTAAGGAGTATTTAAGCCCAACGTTATGTTTATAAAATACTTGATACCATGCATTATTTTAAAAAGGTTGGTAGTGCTTACTTAGCCTTTCTGCCTTTTTTTTTAACAAAGGTTAATACTTTGATGCACATCATTTTTAATATCCTGTTAACCCATATAGTAATGTTGCTGACTGAGATAAGATACTTTAGGTATATATGTTGTGTGACGAGGATGGAGGATATTAGGGATGTAGAATCTCTTGTAATCAGTTAACAAGATTAACTGGGCCACTGGTTAATGGGGAACCGATAAGCATCCCCTGGTAAGGGTGATACTTATTGGTTAACCAGTGACCTCTCTAGAGGATATGTATAACTTCAGTTTGCAGCTCTCCTTGGATATAATGACGCTCTTTAATTTGTACTAAGAAAATCATTTCACATTCTGTGTATATGGTTTAGTCATTTCTAATGCTGCCTGTGCGATTGTTGGCCTGGTAAGAGACACAACTGATTTAAGATGTCTGAAAATCTTTAGGTCTCCTTTGTGTGAGTATTCTTTTTAATAGGGAGGGGTCTCCGTTGCTTCTATCCCATATTTTATCTTTTCAGTGAGATTTGAACTGGAGTGAGTAAGTGTGTATGTGGTGGAGGGAGGTTTAAGAAATATTGTGGGTGACCTTTGAAAGGCCTTAGTTTTGCTGATAACTATCTGCAGCATTGGATTAAGTTGTCCTCTGTTCTTCATGCTCATTCAGCAACTTGGTCCCTGTGGTAACAACAAAAGAATATACATTTATGCAGCACCTTCCATATGGGTATTGTAAGATATGTTATAATAAAATGATCCATTTTTAAACCAGAGAATAAACTGTTTAAAATGATCAGTTTTTAAACTCAAAGGAAATGTTTTTTGATTTTTTTTTAAACTGTAACAAGTTAGAAACTGAGACTAGAAACATAGTTCTACAGTGGAGAACTATTATGAAATCATCCTAATTAAGGGTACATTGAGATTTTCACTTAAAACAGAGATTCAGCCTCTTTGTTTTGTGTGATAAATATACTGTTTCCTTTTAAAAATATACACAAGTAATGGAGAACAAAGACCGCATTTTCTAGTGCTTTAGAAATAAACTTGTTAATTATTTTGTGTTAAAATGTAACTATAAATGGACCTCAACAATTTGCTTTTAGGTTATAACTTTTTTGTGGGACTTGGTAGTCAAAAATCCTCTCTTATGCACAAACATAACATGCATTAACACTACTGTTCTCAATTAAAATATATTTAAAAAACAAATAAACCCGAACAACCAAACAAAAAACTACAGCAAAATATTAGGTTGTAATTAAGCAAAGTTAATAATAATGACATTATCATCTTTCTACATTTGTATTCAGAGCTAGATCTGTTGTGACATCAGAGGTAACTTACCCAATCATCACTACTCATTTAATTAGCATGCTGCAGTTTTATTGGATGCAGGGAGGAATTGTGTGTCAGGTAATAGACTCAGAGTTCCAATGCACTAATGTTATGCCTTTAGATGTTTTACAATACTGTGACTGACATGTACATAGAGAGCTAAGACATTGTCTTGAGTTTTATGGCCATAACAAAATTTAAATACCCTATCCTACATTTCACCTCTCTGTTAGTTGAAATTTGACTGTTACAAATTACATGTTTATGATTGCAAAGCTATTTAAAATTTTCTTGTTAGCACCTGTTTGTGCCTAACATCTGTCCTTACATAACGAAGTATATGCAATAAAAAACTAGGCAATTCATAAGCAAACTACTTTTAGAAACCATAAAGATATCAACAACATTTGTTAAAACACATTTAAGTGAATATTCTGCATGTAGTAAGAGACCATATGCATAACAATGACACATTACATAAGGGGAATAAAGGTGCTGACTTTGATTTCTGAAAAAAATATCACATCACAAAGCAGGAAATTCATAACTACATCAATCCACAGTAACTACTGCCAGAGACATATATCATAACTAGGACTCGAACAAAGTCAATTTAGTGCCCAACAATAGACTGAAAATATGCCAAAAGAATTCTAGGTATGGAAGTGACAGTGGCTGGAAGGTATAACAAAAGTAAGAGTGGTAAAGTTCCTGAATCAGCAGACTAAAGGAATCTGTGCTGTGATGTGCTCGACAATATGACTAGCATATGAGTTAAATGGAACAACAAGAGTTTATATCAGAATATAAATCACTTTTTCAAGCACCTGAAGTGGGAATGAAATAAATAATAGATGGTTGAAACCATTGCAACAAAGGAGCTATTAATGCTTGTTTAAAGTTAGGTGGAATATTACCATGTCCCAAGGAAGAACTGACTGACTTTTTATAGTATCATTTATTAAATTAAACTAGGAAAGAGAATTCAGGAAACTGATTTGGCAGACAGTTTTGGTTCCAGTATCAGGAGCTTATTCATGAAACAACTGCAGTCCTTACAACAAATTTCCATTTGGCATAGAAGCCTGAGCAAATACCCATTGGACTCAATTTAATTATATTGACCTCAGTGGGTTTCAGATCTACTCTAGGAGACTAATGATTTGAAAAAGGGTAATTGGGAAGCCCTCCCTATAGTAGTGTTACCAGAGCAAGATGCTACCTCTTGATGCTTTTGCTTGAAGCAAAGCACATTTGTGCAGTTTTCATGTTGCAGAAAGTCTGTGTGTTTTTTTTAATGGTATTTTGCCTCAAGATATCACTCTGTTTGAAGACCACAAAACAGAGGTAACCAAAGAAAGTAATGATGCAGGGGAAAAGCCAAAGAATACAGAAAAATGGTAGCTGTTTAACAGTAAGGACATATTCCAAAACCTTTTAAGATGGTAAATGGAAACATTCTTTTTCTTCTGTTAAAATTACAGAGGGAAGTTAGGGCAACGCCCTGGAGGGTGATGAGGGCAGGAGGAACTTATTCACTGGAGTTATTGCTATTCACGCATGTAGTCAGTCAGAATATAGTTTTTGAGGCTGCAATTTGGTTTGGGTTATTCTCCTGGTCTTACAAAACGTATCCTGTGATCTTGAAATCCCAGTAAAAAGCCTAATACAT